GCAGGAAACTGTTGGTGATCTTAATCAGCTGATCTCCCAGTAAACACCGAGAGCTGCCAAACATCCAGAGATGCTCGGATGCATCAGTGCTGCTGCTGTTGTACGTATTCAGCTACAGTAAGCCTTAATAATGGAGAAGTGTCGTTATGTCTGACAGGTTTCCTGCTATGACAGGCTGTTAAAATCTAACATGTAATGTATGTTGGTTCCAAATATTGGTCTCTCTTCTCCTCTCTTCCTTGGTAATGATCTGCATTGGTATCAGCCCTTAGAACAACATATTGCTCCATTCCTAATAGTCCATTATCTTCAGCAGGACATTTACTTCCTCCCTGCTTGTATGGATGCAACCTTGACTGTGTCTGAACTTATGAATTCTATGAAACAAGCATCTTGGTGGTAAAATTCAAAGCACTGCCTCCTTCAGGTCTGAGTTTACATATTCGGTGTTGAGTGGAAGACATGGGAATGTTCTTCAGGGCCTGCAGGCTTTTGTTGTCCCGATCAATGAGTGAAATAGTTTATTTATTTATTTATTTATTTTAAATCCTTCTTTGCTCCGTAATCTGAAAATCTATCAAAATCCCTGAGGGTGTTTGTCAGACCTGAAGTAAAGAGCTGAAGAAATGGATGAGATGAATGTGTCCCTGAAACACAGCGGATTGTGGTAACTGATAGCAGCATCATGTTGCTGAGGCTGCCACATTTAAGGATGCGATGTATTATGCACTACAGAATGGGCTGGCTAAGCGAGACTACTCTCTGTGAGACACTGACGCAGCAAGATGCTCAAAACACAAAACGTTTAAACCACACACACACACACACACACACACACACAAAATCTAATGCTTGATCCTCAGCAGCCCTCTGTGCTGTCTGGAAATTATTGTGAAAGAAAATGCTGAAGAAAATTCCTTGGCTCAGTGTTTGGTTCTGGTAGAAGGAATGTTTTGACAAGTTAAAAGGGGCTCTAGAAAGAAGCACATCAACACAATGTTGGAAACACTATAGTGCAATTATGGACGGCACTGTAAAGAGCAGGCTGCGCTTGTTGTTAATTCATTATGTAAGAGCAGTAGGACAGACAGGTAGGCTTGCCAGCTGATGGGTTAGCTGACCTCCTCCTGTTTCAGAGTCCAGAAGCCGGCCGCAAGTCTTCGTTAAAGTTTACTTGAGGTGGTGAATATCACGTATCGACACTTGACACCAGCTTCTGTGCACTCCGGGAATTCCAGTAGGTCGGCCTTGTAGGACACAGGATTTATTGAGAAACGTGGATCAGAAATATTTTCAGGACCATATCACATGAGTTTATTTCTATCATTTAAACACAGAAACAATTTAAAGAGTTTCCCATGAGAGTTTAAAAAGAAAAGGTCCTCCAACCATCAGGACTGTGTGTAGTGACATGTTGTTGTCAAACGAGGTGCAGGTTTCTGTTCTCATTAAAATGCGTTCATTTTGTGTTGTCAAAGCCAAAGTGAACTTTATTGTCAATATCTCTACATGTGCAGTGTGTAATTAAAAGGTCATTTCTCAGAGTACCAGCAAAAATAAAAATATAAATGTTGATATACCTTAAAAAGAAAAAGACACCAAAGAGTATAAACACAAAATACAGTTTTGATTTAAAATGTAAGTTTTTAGTGATTTACCCTGTTGCTGTTCAAAAAGGATGTTACAGTTCATATGTAGGCCTGCTGACTAATAACTATCCCACCTTTGGGTATTTTTATTTTTTATACAGATTCCTGGTTGTGCCTTCAAAGCACTAAGTCAGCAGTAAAGAGCTGCTTCAGCCTCACACTGACTCTTACGTGAGACATTTGTCATATATTTGACACATCAGTGTAAGAAAAGTAGTTCCACAGTCACAAGAAGGTGTTCATGCATCATGCAACAGTTCATCTGCATATCTGCAGTTTCTCTCAGTTTAATCATTTGATCCGTCTAAATGCATTTCATTGTGAAAAACAGAATGTCCCCACGGCAGTGTGCAGAAGAGTTAAGTCTGTTTGCAGTATGTTGACCGCATTACAGTGAGGATTGTGTCTAAACTAGGTAAAATGTCTAATCACAAACAGGGCTCACTGAGAGGAAAAACAGCACTCACACCTGATTATCTGATTGGATGATCCAAATAATCCCCGATAGGATGATTGAAAACCGGAAAAGGTTTATTTGTGTTGCTGCATGGCTACTTGTCAAATATTAGTTGAACAGAAACAAAAGCTCAGCGTGTTGTGCGTTTGAAGACTACACTGGTATAAAACCTAACCACTGGTATCTTTCAGTCACATTTAAATGCATTTTGATGACTCAGTTCCATCTTAACACGTGTAATAATAGTTATATATTAATCAAACTGTTCGACCAGAATGCTTCTTTGATCAGTCAAAATATCCTGAACCCCCACACATCCATGAAGCTCACTGAAAACAAGCCCATCTACTGTTTAGACTGTAGTTTGTGTGTAACGTGTTGAAATCTGCAGGGATAGTCCTGATTACAGTTGCATAAGGTGCTAACAGGACTGGAGTCTAATCCAGGCAGAGTTTGTTCAGCCTGTTGGGCTGCTGAGGCCTTCGGTTGGAACGAATCACACGTTTCTGTGTCTGAAAATAGCAGCAGGAGAAAGAAAGAAGTTTGAGTCCTGTGGAGAGTTTGATTAACATTATTCATGGATTATAAAATTAATGACCGATCAGCTGAACCCTTCGTCAGTCAGGTAGTTTATCTGTTATCGTGTTTGCCGAAGGGCCACTCCCTAATATAGAGGACACACATTCATATCTAATATCCAGCTGCCAGATTATTAGCACAAAAGGCTAAAACCAATGCAGTGTTATGCAACAAGCCTCCAATAAATCCCACCTTAGTGATGACTGTTCAGTTTGTATTGTGATTGTTCAGAGAGGTGTTCGTTCATTTGGACAAAATATTAGCAACACTTATCAGAAACCTGAGAAACCTTCCACCTAAACAAACCTGCATCCATTATTCCTGCAGCGCTACGAGCTGATGACACAAAACTACAACAATAAGAAAATATGAATCATATCTGAAGCCACTGAACTGGTTTCTAAAGTTGCACAGAAGGATTTTCTCAGCGTTAACAAGACTCAGTGAAGTTCTGCTTTTTGTGAAGAAGTTCTGTTGAAGGCAAACAGTTATGATCAAGACTCAGATGAATGTAAAATGAACCACATGCCATGAGCTGGACAGCATTTCTCTCTGGATACGATTGTTTCTACACTTGTGTTAGCAGTGATATTCTTATTTTAAAACCCCCTACAGTCAGCGGTCTGAAAGGCAGCTGCTGTGACTGAAACATATGACGGACCGTACTGCTCTCCCACCGCCTGCATTGTAATCAAATAGTCTGGATCTTAATCTGGATCCGTTACAGTCATACTGTGGGAGTCAGTACATTTGGCAGTGCAGGCTGCATGCCGGGCATTTTTAAATGCTGATTTCACCAAAGGCAACCTCTTTGGAAGAACCCCAGTTGATGGAGAACACTACTGGATTTCATCTTTGTGCCGACTTCAGTATGCGGACGGAACGCTAACGCTGCTCTCCTGTTATTTTTAAAGTTTATGGTGGGTTTTGTTTGATATCAATCAGATAAAGCCAAGTATTTGTGCTTATTAGTGCTTATAATGGAGAGAGAGAAAGCTGCCCCCTCACTTTATATTAACCGTAGTCTCTGTTATTAAAGTAGCCGATGTTATCTACGAGGAAACAAGGTACAAAGGAATTTTTGGCCTGAATGCTGAGGGCACATATTTTGAGAGCGCTTCCCTTGTGCTTTGAAAGATGCACACACATAAACACGTCCACGGCTCGTGCCTTCAGGCCATGATGCAGTCCAGATTAGCTGTGGATGGCAATGAATCATGCCTGGATGTGTTTGTGTGCAGAGGAACAACAGCAACAAAAAAGCCTCACAAAGGGAAACCTAGCAGGAAACAGAGAGAGCTGGTGATTGCAAAAATTAAACATTTTAGGAGCTTGTGTAAAATTTTAAAACAAAGTAGCCGTCATTTATAAATGATTCTTATTCATTTTATAATTTGATTTTGCCATGTATTGGACAGGACTGTAGTCAATGTGTGCACTGAGACACAGCTGTGCTTTGAGCTAAATGCTGCTATGCTCACAGCAATGGTACAATGGCATCTTTGTTTAGCATGCTAGTATGCTAACCTTAGCTAATTAGCACTACACCATAGACTGACTATAAAAGATAGATACAACCTCCGAAAAGTGAAGCCAGTTTGATGTGAAGTGACTTTAACCTGCATTCTTTCTAGCAGCCAGCAGGGGGCGATTCCTGGTTGCTAAAAAGATGTCAGATTGTCAGTGAGAAAATGATCTGACTTCTCACTTGATTTATCACCTCAGTAAACATTTTTCTAATGAGTTTATGGTCTTAATAGCTAGTTTTAAATCTAGTAAATACCAAATGGTGTTTATTTTGTAAATCATGGTCCCATGTAGAGTAAAATAGATGATTAAAGTAGGGTCTGCTTTATCAGGTGGACAACTTGTGATTCACAAGTCACTACCATGTGAAGACCACGTGTGTTACTGCTTTGAAAAGAACATGATGCATCTTCTGCAGTGATGTGTCTCTGATTATCTTTGATGTTTCATGAGGAAACAGCCCTGTGATAAGATAAGATAAGATAAGATAAGATATGCCTTTATTTATCTCACAATGGAGAAATTCACATCGTTGGTAGCAGCATTCAACAGAGGTACACATATACGAGACAGGAAAAAATAAAAAATAAAAAATGTACATATAAATATAAGAAATAGTGCAAACAAGGAGAGTAGACGGATTACCTGTCCAGGGTGTCCCCTGCCTTCACCCTAAATCAGCTGGGATAGGCTCCGCCCCCCCCGTGACCCTAGTGAGGATTAAGCAGTGTATAGATAATGGATGGATGGATTTCATGAGGAAATACATTTTCTTTGTGTCTTTACAGAGTTGAACATGGAGTACAACCCGTCGGACCATCCGCGGGCCAGCACCATATTCCTCAGCAAATCGCAGAATGATGGTGAGTAGCTTTGTTGTGTTTCACATGAGTTTGAATAAGAACAGGACAGAAGTTAGTGTCTCAGGGTTTACACTGTACGGAACCATAGTGTTGACTTCATTTACCTTGGTTGTTCTGTAGTACTTCAATAATTTACATACAATAAAAAATCCAACGTCCAGGTCAGTGTCTCGGGTATAAAACTGACCTCATGCCTTATTTCGACACGCTGCTCTCTCACTGCTGATGTCTGTTAAGTCCAGCTGCTGCTCTGAGGCGTCAGACTGAAACAGAGGAAATATTAATATGGAGCCATAAACATGGCAGCATGAGATCAGTGCTTTTGTTCCAGCATCAGGAGAAAACAGTTAGACAGTACTGGCTTTTGTAATGTTGAAATAGATAAACAGTATATGTAAGAAATCCTTCCTCCTTGTCAATGCAGTTTTTAGCATCAGACACATGCAGGTTCTAGATATTATATCGTGTCATTATATTGGATTATTTTGTTTTTTGCACAAGTTTATAGACTTTTGTATCCAGAGAAACCAGATAAATGATCCAAATGAAGTCTGACATGTGAATAGGTGAAGCTTATTGTGATTATTGCTGCTTGTCATTTGCAATATTTAGTCTCAAAAAAGCCACATGTAGGTGACCTGTCCCTCTTCCTCTTGGTTTAAAAGGACTGAGCTGGTGTTATTTTTGCTTTTTTATTTTTATCAACAAATCCTCTGATGACTAAATCAATGCTAAATAAATTCTGCTCTCAGATGCTGTCTGTGTGCAGCCTGATGTGTGCTTTTGTGCCACTGAGCTCCACTGGAGTCCAAAAACATGTACACCACTGTTTGCAAGTTCTTTTCATTGGGCCTGTTCTTTACAGTATTTGTTGTATTAAAAATATGATTAATTATTAGCCTAATCCTTCAATATATTTTGTTTACAACCTACTTGGCTTGTGAGCCTTTCAAATAGAATATCTGTGACAATTTATGATTGTTTTGATTTGTTCATCTGTTCCATGAGACAGATGTGTGGTGGAGGGACAAGCACTTCCAAAACTTTCAAAAAGACTCCTGCACTTTTTTTAACTTGCAAAAATACATTTATTTGCAAGGTTTTGGTACTTTACCTTCATCAGACATCAGGTTTAATGAATGTCTAGCACTGAGATGTAACAAGTAAATGTGTTTTTCCTGCAGTTACACAGTGTGCAGGAGTTTCTTCTGCAATTTTTAGAAAACAACAAAATTCGTGTTAAATTCCAGCAACTTCTCATCACAGGCTGCCCAGCAGATGTCACCTTAAAGACCAACGTTTTCTTCTCAGATAGTTTTCTTTTTAATCAATTCCCTAAACAGAACAAAAGCAACCTAATAGCAAAAAAACAAAAAAAATTGAAAATTTTTTAAATGTAATTTTGTCGAGTCGGGACACTTTTTCCGTCTTTCCTCTGTTCATCTGTTAAACCCTCAGAAGCTTCCCTGGACGGCCGTTACAAACTGCTTTTTGCCATTTCATGAAGAAGAGTGCAAAAACAGAATAAAACAAACTAACTAACAACAACAAAAGAGTGGATTTGAATTTGTGAGAATGAACAGAATGTTTTGGACATTAATACTGCTGACTGTATTATACTGGGAATCTGGGCTTTTTGAAACAAAATGTCATGTAAGACATGTTATCATTAGTAAAAGTGCATAAGTTCAGCTGAAGAAAAGCATATTTGGAAAATGTTTTGAAGAGACTCTGACTGTGATGCAGGAAGAATAAGGCTGTTGGTTGCTCTTCTTTCAGAGGTGCCGTTCAGGAGCGGTGAGTAGTCTTCAGTGTGACTTTGTCTCCCTCTAGTGGTGTAACTGCACTTTTTCTTTTTTTCTCTGCTGAAGCTCTCAGTGTTTATTTTGTCCTCTTAACATTTTCTTTTACTGTCACTTCTCAGCAGCTACAACAAAACACTTTTTTATGAGTTGCAATTAACACTCTAGCGTGTGCTTTGCTTCTTGTGATGTACAAGTTGCTGAATGCTGGATTTGTGTTTGTCTGACTGCTGGTGGAGCAGAAAGGACATTTAATGAAAAAGTTCTCTTTATTTTTACAGTGCGAGACAAACGAAAGAGCATCTTCATTAATAATGTGAGTGTGCAGGTTTTTTTCTCTGTTTCTCTGCAAAACATCTAAACTGTAGTACGGAGCCCGTCTGGTGACATCGATAAATAAAAAATAACTCGTTCCCACGCGTTAGTAAATCGTGGCCACGAGTTATTAATGCGTGGGAACGACATAATTATCACACGGTGCTTCATCGCAAGAGATGGCAGGATATCGGTGTCGTTCATTCCAAGGTTAAAATAAAATGAAATCAAATCAAAATGCTCCATGTTTCATGCCAGTCCGCCTGTTATCCTGAATCCACAGCTGGTGTGATGCACTGTGACATCTGCTCCACAACTTCTCCTGTTTCTTCATATTAGTAATGTAAGGCCACAATTTAACGATGTCGTTCCCACGCATTAATAACTTGTGGCCACCATTTACTAATGCGTGGGAACGAGTTATTTTTTTATTTCTTATCAATGTCACCAGACGGGCTCCGTAAAACTATTTTATCTTATAATCATGTTATTTCTTTTTTAAATGACCTCAAACTTCAAACATACCAGCGATTCATTGATGGCTCTCAGTTTAAAAAAGCAGTTTTTTAGACTATTTTGAATAGACTTGTGCACAAAAGAAGCTGACGTTTCTTAGGTTGCATGTGTCTGTGTGTGACACCGCGACATGATTTACTGTATGTGGGTCAGACAGAAACATGTTCACTCTAATAACAGTCACTGTGTTGATGTGTGTGTTTGCAGCATGGAGCATCGAGGAGGAAATACAGCTCCTGCTCCACCATCTTCCTGGATGACAACACCGTCAGCCAGCCCAACCTCAAATACACCATTAAATGGTACCAACATGGAAGCAGCGCACAAACACGGCACAATGTCAGACAAGCAATTCTGTATCTGCACTCGTATTTATTATTCAAACACTTTCTTCTCTTTGCAGTGTTGCTCTGGCAATTTACTATCACATAAAAAACAGGTGAGGATTCATTCTGAATGCTGATCTGAGAACCTGATAATGAGCACGCAGTGTTTTCTTTAAATCCCCAAATGTTGCTGCACATTCTGCATCATTTATTTGTGTTCTTAAGCTTTTAGGATGAATGGTTTTAGATGAATGCAGATGTGGATTTTTAGGTTAAGGTGGAGGGAGTTCAGGCATCTGTCGAGGATTCCTCCTGGACGCCTCCCATGTGAGGTGTTTGGGTTTATCCACTTAGGAGGAGACCCAGAGGCAGAACCAGGAAATGTGTAAGAGATTGTGTCTCGGCCGGTTTTGGAAGACATCCGTGTCCCGCCGGAGGAGCTGGAGGAGGTGGAGGAGGTGGAGGAGGTGGCAGTGGAGAGAGAAATGTGGGCAGCTCCGTTTAGGCTGAACTGGGATTGGCATTAGAAAATAAATGCAATGAATTATAATCAAGATCCATTTTATGAAGAAGTTTTCATTGTATAGTTTTGATTCATGTAATATGTGGTTTTGGCTCCACATGTTTAAATGGAGATGCACCAAATAAACATCTTTCAAACATGCAAACTTCCAAATACTGAACAGAAAACTTTTCAACTGCAAATATGTTTAGTTCATCATCAAAGTACTTCATAATAAATATTTTTCCACTGAGCGTCAGTGGCTTTTACACCTTATCCACCAATTTACGTTATTTGTTTCTGGTGAAAGCAATAAATTCAGCTAAAACTTTTCTTTTTTTTTAAATTCACGATGTAGTGAAATGTATGTTTTCATTGCAGGGACACAGATGGAGGGATGCTACTAGACATCTTTGATGAGAAGCTTCATCCTCTCTCAGTAAGATTTCATTGCCTTCATCACAGTTTGCAAATCGGTTAAATGTGCAACCACTTATTTTGTTAGACGTTGGTCAGATTTTTTGTCTCACGTCAATGTTTCATATATTTTCTTAGCAGCTGACTTTGCATGTTAAAGATAAATGAAGTTTTCCTTGTTTAAAATTTCACTCATTTTCTTTTGCTGTTCCCTTCCTCTGTCTTTCTTTCTCTGTCTCATATCATCATCATTTATTTTGCGACTCTCCTTGGTCTTTTCCTAAACTCTCCTGTCCTTCCTTTGCTCAGAAATCCGAGGTTCCGCTGGATTACAACCAACACGACCCGGAGCAGAAGCAGATCTACCGCTTTGTCAGGACGTTGTTCAGCGCCGCTCAGCTCACTGCTGAGTGCGCCATCGTCACACTGGTGAGATTTTTATCCTCTTCTTACATTTGTGGAGCAGCTCATGAAACACAAATCTACACCATGAATGACTTTTTATATGGAAATAAAAAGAGAAGCTGCAACCGGCCGTCACACACAAACACTCAGAGTTCCTGGTTTGGCCACAGGGGACATCGAACTATAACGTGTTCAGACAAGTCAGGGATGTGTGTAAATTGTTGGTGATCCAAAATATCAGGGTGTCTGCGTGTGTTGTTGGGTCTCAGAGACCAGTGATGAATGTGGGATGTCGTACAGGACAGAGTGAACGTGAACGTCCTGACACCACAGAGCAGAGCTTGAATAAAGTAATCAGATTAGATCAGCCGCCTTTGTGAAAAGTTGTTTGGTCTGGAAGGTAACGCTTTCAAGCTATCGTGTTTTTAGGCAACATGTTTAGAATGTTTTTGGTGCTTTTATGTCTATTTAACTCTGACAAACACAAAAGAAAAGAGAACACATTCCTCCGATTCTTAGATCCCTGCAGTCAATTTCATTTAAATGTATAACGAGATTCAAGCCTCCATTTATTCTCGGTCAGTGTCTGAATCGTCTGGGAGCAAAACGTAGAGGAAATATGTTGATTGAAGCCTGGTAGGTGTCTCTGATTAGTTAGTGAAGCCAAAAGTGGAACCAGCTCTAATTGAAACTTAGATTTGCCCCAAATGCAGACGTTTTTAAAACTAAACTGTTTCCACTGCTGTTAGTTTATCAGTTTTTAAAATAAATGTTGTTGTTATGTTAAACTCCCTGAGCTTCACTGAATTTGTCTGCACTTATTTCCACATAATTTTAATTCACATTTCTTTATTTTTTTATGTATACTGTCTCCTTTACTTGTTGTTATTCACATTTTTTGGTCTTTTTTTAAAAACTGTTTGTCAGTTTTAATTATTCTATATAATTTTGCGTGCACTTTATCCTCCCTGTTTTGGATTACTGCATGGAAACTATTTAACTTTATTCAGCTGTAGTTTGTGTTTTATCTTTTCCATGTGTCAAATATTTTAGCTTTCAATCGCCTCTGTGTGTAAATAAACTACAATTATTACAGCCTAAAAACTTTCATGGCCAGTCTTCAGTGATGTCCTCCTCCTCGTGTTTGGTCGTGCAGGTCTACCTGGAGAGACTCCTGACCTATGCAGAGATCGACATCTGTCCAGGGAACTGGAAGAGGATCGTCTTGGGCGCCATCCTGCTGGCCTCCAAAGTCTGGGATGATCAGGCCGTGTGGAACGTTGACTACTGCCAGATCCTCAAGGACATCACAGTGGAGGACATGTGCGTGATCTGAGGTTCTTTTTCATCAGGATCAGCTTTGGTTCAGAATTAAGTTTCTGTTGGGATTTGGTTGGAGCTGACTTCTTTTGAAAATGTTTTGCATGAGATTGTCAAAAGTACCAAAAAGTTCACTTAAAAATAGTAGATTTTGCCAAAAAGCCACCGAAGAACCACCTCAGGATTTTAAAGAGACGTGTTCTTGTTTCTCAAAGCCATTTGTTCAGTCCAGTGATGCAGAAATGTTGTGACTCCTGTAACCAGGAATGAACTGGAGCGACAGTTTCTGGAGCTGCTGCAGTTCAACATCAACGTGCCGTCCAGTGTCTACGCCAAGTATTACTTTGACCTGCGATCGCTGTCAGAGTCCAACAACCTGAGCTTCCCCCTGGAGCCACTCAGCAGGGACAAGGCTCAGAAACTAGAGGTGAGAAGCTTCCACACACCTTTAGTTCCATATTTACTGTGTGTCTGGTTTTTCTTTCAGGTAATTTCTATTTTCCTCTTATTTAGTCTTTTGCCATTAAAGCTACTGTGTGTATAATATGAAAATTCAGTGGTGGTATCAAATAAAAAAAAGCAACACAATATGATAAGATCTGAAGCAGAAATAAATATCCATAGAACTCATGTCACTGCTACATTACAGCAGCGTTCTTGTATTTTCCTCTGTAGCATTACAGTCTGACATCAGTGGTGCACAGCAGCAAACTCTGCCTTCAAAATCTATGCTCAAAACTAATTCTGCAGTTTTGAAAGTAGCCTAATTTGACTCATCTTCAGATGTGTTTAAAATGCAAAAAGAAACCTGCCAATAACTTTAACTGTCTGATTTCATTGTTCAATGTAGTTCCTCTGGAGCCTTTGTTTCTGATGCTGCTGCTCAAAAAGTGGCTTCAAAACTACTGTATTTTTATTTTTTATTTTATTTTTTTCACTTCTCTACAAACAAAACCTTTGATGCCATAATCACAGAAAAGCTCTGCACACAGCGGGTTCACTTGTTTGACACAAAATCGATCATAAACAGCAACAAAAAAATCCTCAAATGACTTTTATTGAAGCAAAATGAGTGTTTGAAGAGCTTCACCTCTTTTCTGAAACATATCGACAGCAAAATAACAGGAAACACTGAAAGTAGAAATGTTATTTTGCAATAAAACCCCCTTTTTTATCATGTGTTTTATTAGCAGAAATAAGCTGTATGTCATTTGTAGTAACGGTATTTCCATTGTTTCATGTTTAACAAACCAGAAGAAGAAGAAGAAGGAGCAAGACAAACTGAAAAATCCAGATGAAAAATGAATTAAGATCATCGCAGTATTTCTTCTAGTTTTTCAGCTCAAAATACTTGAAAGACTTTTCGCTTCACTTTGACTGTTTAACTCCTGGTTCTAAGGCTGTTCTAAAGAGGATGTTTTACTCTGAAAACCGCTGAGCTGCTGCTGTTTGCGCCCCCTTCAGGACGAACCCTGACATCTTGAATTCTTACTTGCCTGTAAAAGCAAAGAGGCTCACTTGTTGTTCAGGTGCTTGAGGAATGGCTGAAGTACATGTTTTCTTATCTTCACAGATTTTTTTTAACGAAGTTTAAAACCAACAACAAAACACAAGAAAGTGGATTTTCACCATATGGGGCCTTTAACATTCAGATTCTAGTATCCTAACTTTTTATTGTAAAGCTCCACTGCGGTATCTAAATAATCAGAGAGGGGAGCAGGTACATGAACACAATGGACCAGACACTTAGTGAAACCTTCTTTATGTCCTGTCTGCAGGCTATTTCCAGGCTATGTGATGACAAGTACAAAGATGTGCGGAGAGCAGCCAGGAAGCGCTCGGCCAGCGTGGACAATCTGTGTGGGATCCGCTGGGTTCCTGCAATCCTCTCTTAACCACTAAGCAAACTGTCATGTTCTGAACGCTGGCATCAGGCTGGATGAGAAAACTCACACCAACCTGTGGACCTCACACCTTCAGACTGGATTCGAGCAGAGAGGAACGAGGTCTGTACCTTAACCTGATGCCTTCACAGTGCCTCAACTCTTCTGTTCTTGTGAGAGCAGTGGGAGTTCCTTGTTTTAATGTCACCTGTGCAGGAAAATCAAGCTCAAGAAACAAGCGCCGGACGAGACAGAGCCTTGAAGTTTCTTCGGACATGGGAATCATGTCAATATTGGGCACAACCTGCACCTCCACAGCGAAGCATCTTATTTATTTGACTTCATTATGGGAACTTTTTGAACAGTTGCGGCTGCCTGTACCTGTAATGTCGGCAGAATTTCGCAAACAGAAGTGTAGCACTGGACTTTCTACTGGTTATTTATTTCCTTTGACTGGACTTAGAATAATAAAAGTGTTAGCGAGTTTTTCTTCTTTGGAAATCTACAAGGTTTACAGTATTTATAGCGCACCTCTTGATACTCAGGTAGTCTGTTTAATACGTTGATTTATTGCGATGCTCCTCATTTCAGCCATATCGAGGGTTGAAACACTAATTTTGAAGTCCGCAGATGGAAAAAGGGCCAGAACAAATAAAAAAAATAACAATATTCCCACAATTCTGAGTGTAATATGGACGTTTTGGGAAACAATCATTCCAGAAACACTACAGTCTGGATGAGCCACAGGTTTCACTGTGAACCGTCTTCACAGGAACTTTTCTTCCAGTGAAACTTTTCACAGTGATTTTTTAAATTTTTATTTCTTCTTTCTGGAATAGGATCATTTTGCACCTTACACATGTGTTTAAATACACAGTTAGTGTAAAACTCAAGCTTCTAAATTTAAGTTTTAGACTTAAATACACTCTAAAGTCCAACCTCAGACAAACAGTATAACTACAGCTGACATGCTAACGGATGGAAGAACGTGGCACAACATTCCTTTATTTTTAATTTATTCAGTATTATAGAGTTAATTTGGAATCTCCTGTCCCATTGGTCTCATGCTGCCACTGCAGTGTCTTTACTTTTCCTGTGCTGTCGTATTAAACTTGTTGGACTGATGCTTGAAGGTTTCTATCATGCGAACTGGGGCTGAATGATTTGGAGAATATATCAAATTGCAGTCTTTCTGATAGTTATTGTGATTTGAATTTCAACCAATCCTACTTGAGTTTGACATAAATAATATAATGAAATATTACCCACAAATAACCAACAGTTTAAATCCTGGTTTAAACATAATGCAGAGCCTGTATCCTCCATAGTAGCCTCGGTTGTTTACTAATTGCATTGTTTCAAATTACATTTTGACTAATTAATTGTCCAGCCCTTGTGAAAACCATTTGACTTATATGTACTTCAAACAAACTGCTTCTCTTATTCCTGATGAGTTCACAATCTGTAGTTATTTCAGTTTTTTTGTTTTTTTTAACAACACAATAGCACTTCAGCAGCAGAGCCCATAATAAACATTTAAATAATAATATGAACCAAAGATAGCTGTATCATTGTGGGTCTGGCTGCAACTTAAGATCTTCTAAAACCTCAAATCTTAAAAGAGTCCTCTCCAGAAGGTGGTTCATCAGAAAGACGGTTCTGTGTGAACTGCTAGTTATCTACCATTGCCAGTCTGTGACCAACCTGTTGGACCAATAACGTGTCCTTGAATCAGGGTTTCTAGGTTCCCTGTGTTCATTCAGCACAAATTTATACTAAACTTTCCTTCAAATTTGAGAAGCATTGTTTCAGTATTTGGTTTTGTTGCTACAGGTGAAGAAATGATCAGGTTTTCCAGTTTATTTTTCTCATTTGTCTAAATAATAATCCAGAAAAATAGAATTATTTTGCAAAATTAACTTTGTACAGTGTATAAAGAGTTCAAGAACTGCGACAGGTTAATTGTAAATTATTTATGGATGTGCTGATTTGTGTTTTTAATAAAAGGAAATACTCTTGTTTAATAATTTTGTGTCTTTAGCGACCAGTTTGCATGTTTTATAGGTTTTTGACACAGTTGGGGCGCTTGGCTTTAAAACGATGATGCTGCTGATTTTAAGAGGCTTCATAAGAAGTTTCATTTGGCTGTTTGACTTCAGTTTGTGATTGCGCTTTGCAACCTTGCCCACGTATGACTGCCAGCTTCCAGCAAGGTTGACTTGTACCTAAACATCCCAACAATGCTTTGATGGCAGCCTGGTAAGAATAGCCCACTCCACAGGTCCTGGCCTCCGCAGACAAGAGTGTGAGGCAGCAACACAACATTAGAGGTGAGTGTGTTTAGTGGCATGCTGTGAGGGCTGGCGCTGTGGAACAGTGTTGAGGGCGACAGCGACGAGGAAACACCTCCTTGGAGCGACATTAAGCGCACTGAGATCTGTCATAAAAGAGGCTTTCTGGATGAGTTTGAAGTTCTTATAGGATCAGCACAAAGAGGATGACGGGAGCAAAAGATAGAGTCTTCATCACTATCAGCCAGAATGTGTCGTTCATTGGTAAGTCCCTTTTAAGCTTTTCTCTCATTTATTTTATTTTTTTTCTGCTGTACAACAGTAACACTGTGTAAAATCATAAACATGCAGGGTTTTTAATTCTTGCATTTTGCGAATTTATCGAAAAGGGATCGGGACAAATAAACTTGGTTTGGTCTTTATCAGTTCTAACGTATGTTTGGAGTCATTGTCTTGTTGGAACACACAACTGCATCCAAGACCCAGACTGGGTGAGGATTTTAGGTTTTCCTGAGGAGTGTGTAATGTGTTAATCGTCCTCCTTCATTATTCCATTTTGTTGGTGTAAAGCACCTGTTCCACTGTCAGGGTGGAAACAACAGAGCGTAATACTGCCACCAGCGTGCTTGACGTTAGGTTTGGTGTTCTTCATCTTCTTTACTCCCATCATATTTAATTACTTTATTATTTTTAGCTGACTTTTGGATCTCTGCTTGCTTTGAAATGACTTCAAGTGACTTTCCTGATTTGTGCTTTTTCAGCTCTGTGCAGAAAAACATCCAAGTCTTTACTTTGGTTTGGTTTTGGGAGTGTTTGTGAGCTTCATTAGGATTGTCAGCTCTTTAACAAGTGCAAAGTATTTTTTTTCCATTCAGAATTTTTAATGCCTTGCTCGTATGTACATGCTATTATCATATTTCATTTTTATTTATACATATATCTCTTTATAGGGTGCTGAAAAAACATTACAAGACAGTCATAATATTGTATTTTGCTCATCCCTCCTCCACTGCAGGCAAAACCTGGTGGATGTTGATGCTGGTTTTACGTCTGCTCGTCCTTCTGCTCGCTGGCTTCACGCTCTTCAGCGACGAGCAGGAAAGGTTCATCTGCAACACCATCCAGCCAGGATGCTCTAATGTGTGCTTCGACCTATTTGCTCCTGTGTCCGTCCTCCGTCTCTGGCTCTTCCACCTCATTCTTCTCTGCCTTCCCCATTTTATATTTGTAACATATATAATGCATAAAGTTCTGTCGCGTCCCTCTTTTGGAGGTTTTTACTGCGACAGGAGCCGAGGAGGTTCACCTTTCACCCTCGACAACTCAAACTCCTCCAGAGAACTGTCGCTGCATAAAGCCCCGCTGGAACGTGAACTGGCAGCACCGCGATACTACTGCGCTTACTTGTTCGTAGTCATTCTACGAATACTCCTAGAAGCTGTTTTCAGTACCGGCCAGTTTCTTCTCTTTGGTTTGTCCGTCCCTAAGAGCTTCTTCTGTTACGAGGCTCCCTGCACATCTGGAGTTGAATGCTACATCTCCAGACGTACTGAGAAAACCTTAATGCTCAATCTTATGCTCGGCGTTGCCACTCTGTCCATTCTGCTGAGTTTGGTCGACCTGGTGAGCTCGGTGAAGGCGATGGTGAGGTGGAGGAGGAAGAAGGAGATGCTGATGGAGGAGATGAGTAAAGGAGAGCGTAGCAGCATGTTCACAGCCACAACCCTGACAGAAGAAGATGTTATTTTAACCAGGAGAGTCAGCAGAAGTGGATGCTCAAAGATGAATAGTTTTAAAGATGACAAACCTCCAGCTGGTCTTGGGTCAAATGGTGAACTTCTCCACACTAAGGTGACTGGTGCACTTGAAGCAAATGAATCTGCTGATGAGAAGAGCCAAGAGGGAAAAGCGGAGATGATCACTCCAATGACAACTAACTACGTCCTTCAAAGCCATTTGAGACCTCCAACATCCCCTCGCCCAGATAAGGGACCATTACCAAACCCGAGAGCGGCAACACCTATGGGTGTCAAAAAGATGAGCCAGTGCACTGCAGCTGGCAGCAGCTCTGGACAACAGTCTGATAGCAGCGAGTCCCAGGACAGGAGGGCGTGGGTGTGATGGACTGAGTGTCACTTAAGTGCCTCCTTCTGACAAACCCTGAAGTTCTTCTACATGTGTATTTTTAATGCATGAATAAACAGGACTCACTAGAAAACTGCACTTAGCAAAGAATATTTTAATTTATTTATAGTTAATGAAATGATATTACTCAAATGTGCAAAGTGAAAAGAGTACTGACAAACTTGCTGAAAGTGTTCACCGCCGTTCTCTAACAGATCTCCAGAGCTCTTTGTCCTCTTTTAGCTGGTTGTTTTGGTTTTCTGTTCTCCAGTCTGCTGTTCTCTGTTTTTTAAACTGAGTTTTTAAATTTGAAAAAAATAAACCCTCGACCTCACAAACGGCGAACTAAGAAAGAGTCGGCAATCATTTAAAGCAAAATCAACAATCTAAAGAGCTAAATATTGTTCTCCGATGTTGGTAGAGACCAAAACGGTGCTAAAAGAAGGAAAAGGCTGGTCCTGGAACATTCGGCAACTTCAACCAAATGTTTCTGTTTTGTCTGCATGTACAGGCTAACATACATGGAGAGGATGTTTTCAGTTTGTTACGCTGCCATCAAGTGACTACAAATCAATTCATGCACAGGTTTATGAAACTGTCGGACAGAAACCCCTGTGTTTCGGTCCTTCATAAGGCTCAAGGATGAGGCTTACAACAATTGGACGTTGACCGGGAGAACAAGTATTGTATTTACAATTAACCTAAATTACTGAAAAAAAGTCCTAATAAATCAGAAAAACTAGGCTTCCTGCAGGCCATGAATAACCCTAAATAAAGGTAAAGAATGAACAAAAGAATACACAACCAATCCAAGCTTGGCTCACAACAGCCCACGCACAGACTGAACACTTTCCAAATGGCCTGGTGGCACCGTTGATGCTGAATCTATGAGACTTTATTCTCCCAGAAGTGATGAGCAGGTGGATACAGCTGAGCTCAGTTACTTGTAAGGAGCCAACAAGCAGAGCCTGAGGAACCACGTCCACAATGAACAAGAAGGACAGTACAGCAGGTAACACCTTGTGTTTCTTTAACGTGATCACATAATACAAAAGTATTTAAGCAACCATGTCAAATGTTTGTGCAAATTTTGGATGAATTGATGTGCAGATTCTCCATGAAGCTGAAGAACACTTCTAAGTTCTTGCACAGTAAAATGCGATGCTTGTTTTCCTTTAATGCATTCTCCGTCATGGTTGGTCGACACCTTAAACTATTTCTGTTGTTATAAAAATGAGTCACTTAAACAAAAGAACAGAAACGCCGCGGCTGACCTTGACGAAGCAGCAGCTAGAGTGCTCAGCTGTTGTCTGGATTACCGAGTGCTGGCAGCTACAACAAACACACTGACCCAACCTCTGACCTCCCACATGACCGCTGGACGAACCGACCCGATGCCAGTCGACCCTGCCTGGATGATGCAAGGCCTTCAACCTGCTCCCCACCATCAGTCACCTCAGCAGGCAAGCAAAGCTCCACCTTTTGATCTGCAAGTCACACACAGTGTAGAACAACATCATCAGAGATCAAATATTACCATCATGCCAGATGATGTGCAGATTTTTATTGAGATTGACCCTTTTTTAATTTTGACACGTTCGTCTCCGTACATTTTCTGTTATTGAAAAAAAAAAAAAAAAAAGGGGAGTAGATTATTGTCTTGTTAAGTTTTGGGAATTATTTTCTTTCCCGTGCATCGTCTGTAGAAGTTTTTTTTTTTTTCTTCATATGAAAATTTTGACCTTTTTTTGTCAAAGATTTACAGTTAGAGCAACGAGAACTATTGTGCACTCTGGGAATTTTCTTGTATTTTTAATCACAGTTTAGAATGTCATCACAAGCAGCATATGAGAAAATACTAAAAAAAAAAAACACAAAAAAAAAACAAGACAATAGGAGCCCATATTGTACTGAAAAAAAAATTGAAAAAAAATGTACTGAAAAAAAAATTGAAAAAAGTCAAGTAAAAGGAAATATATATATATATATATAAATTTTCTTTACTTGACTTTGTTATATTTTCAATATACTTGAATGGCCTATATTGTACTTGAAAGTAAACAGTAAAAAATAATGTGGGCTCCAATGAGCTGTTTGGGTATTTCCTCATATTTCTATGGTTTTCCTATTATTACTATTTTGAATCACCTCTAGGGGATAAACAAAGTTATTTGAATTGAATTAAACTGAACTATAAATGTGTGTATATATATATACATATACAGAGAAAGTGAATAAGCCCCTAAAACAACACAAACTGTCCTCTGATTACCTCTTTGTCTACATACACCAAGATTTTAAGTCTTCTTTCTGAACCAATCCACCTTTTAAAAATCTAAAGCAGTAGCTCCAGGCTGCTTAAAGTGATGCCTCTGACTGTAGCAGCACTGCTCCTGAGCCTCATTACCTCCACTGCAGCCCTGACCCCAACATATGTCTCATAGCTTTTTCATTCTTCTTCTGCTGCGGTATTTGGGGCAGCTAAGACGTGCAGAAACATTAGCAGGGTGGCCCGTCATCAGCGGAGAAAGGACTGCACTGTCTCTGGTGGAGGTCAAAGGGCTGCACAAGCCAACTTGGTGACCCCACACATGCGCCAGCCGAGGTTCGCGCAACAAAGCGTCACACAAAGCCCACTTAGAAGCTATTCTGTTAGCTATGTGTCCTTGCCAAAATCCCAGCCTCCGTGTTGATGATATCAGCTATGTGCATTTTGTTTGCACAAGCCCTATAAAACACAGGTTTATATATAGACATTTTAACAGATTTAAAAAAAAAAAAGACAAGCAGCAATACATCGGGGAAATCTATGCAAACACTTTAACCCTTCTGTATACTCATATGCACGACCTGGAAATATCGATCAGAAAATATTGGGAATATCCCACTAAACTAAACCTTTCACAGCAAACAGGGAAAACAACGTATTTATTGACCTGGCTTGTGCATCCAGGATCCACACATGGTGAAACAGCAAACAGGCCACCATTGAAATATTTCTATAAAATGTAAAGTCTATTGCTTTGAAATGTATTTTTTTGATGTAGCATTCAGATTTTTGTCAATTAAAACTGAGAGATTTGCACCAAAACATGAAAAACAGCCACAGAACAAAAGCACTTAAAGCTCTACTTGTATACGGTTGGTCATACTGTAAAAAAATGCAAATTACATCGTTGAAGTCAGATGAATAAAACAGTTTTATGGAAGCTGGATGGAACACTGGTGCTTTTACTGCCATCTAGTGGCCACTGAGTGAGTAATGCAGCCAATTAAATACAGACAGAAACGATCCAAGTTACATTAAAACTACATGTTTCTTGGACACCACACGAAATATTCTGATGGATTTTGTTTGGTTTTAAACATGTAACAAAGCTTATGGGAAGAAACATGATCCTAAATCCTTGGCTAAAAGTATATATATATTTTGGAGAATGAATCCTGTTTTTATAGATTCCAAATAATAATAATAATAAATGTTGTGTTTAGCAGCTTAAAAAAGTAAAATCATGTACAACATTTGTGTAAAAAGATAAGTCTTATTTACCCCTGAGTATGATTGTGTTATTTATTAATGTAAGTTATGATACAGTCAGTGTTTGAAGAGCTGATGATTATTACCCTCGAAAAGGTATTATTAATAAATTCAATAATAAATTCAATAAATTAAATCTTTTCTTGAGAATTACTTAAAATATCAGATATTTTAAACTTTCAATCAATTTTTTGTAATTGTGTTGTGAACGCTTCATTAGCATTTAATACACTTTGGTATTCTGACTACATTTTCTCAAAGGTTATAAGCTGTAAATTATTAAATTTACTGAGTTAAGGTTGAGTTGATGGAACTTTGTTTCATTCAATGTTACTTTAAATAAAACATAGTATGTAGAAAATGTAAAAATACCAAATTAAAATGTTATATATGAGTTCAGACGACTTAAAGTTTACTGAACAAGAGAAAAAAGGAGTTAAATCAAAATATGTACTTTAAATTTAAAATAATTACTTAAATGATCTTAGATAATTGGTGAAAGCAAGGGTTCGGAGTACGCTGAACTTGTTTTGATTTACACGTACAAGTTAATACTCAAAGTTCTATATGTATAATTCATTGTTTCCTAAATCTAAAAGCATTCAGTCTCAGTTTGAATTTTCCAACTTCAAAGAGTGAAGCTATCATTTAAAAAGTGTCTGAGTTTTCTTTTTTTTTTTTTAAATATCTCTCTTTACCTGGCAGACATCTTATTCTGAGACAAAGTGCTTCATGTGTCGGTTCAGTGTTGTACATCAATACAGAGCAGAACATTGCGAGCTGATGCCTTCACTGCCCATCGATCTAAAGTTAACGCGTCAGCCGGTGGACGCCTCAGGTGCAGCTGCGCACTTGGCTCTCAGGGGCGACAGACGGAGGAGATTGAGAAGTCGGAGAGAAAACTCCACATTGATCAGAACAGCACATCAGAGACGATGTCAGAGGCATCAAAAATATTGATCGGCCGGCAACCTCCTCACCTCAGAGGTTGTAGTGGAGACGAATGGGAGGATGGGAGGGCGGGGTCGTCCCTGATGGCCTCGGCTCCGAAGACAAAATCCATTCTGACTCCCTTTGATGTTAATGATGGAGGGATTGTGGGGTGAGAAAGGAGGCGGGCTGATGCAGGAGTGTTGTTTGGATGAAGGCTGAGTAGGTTTTCTCTGACTCCTTGTCCACAGATGAGTTTATTAAAGCGTGTGATACCAACCAGCAGATGCCAAACACCATGAAACTCATTGGACAAGAGGAATTTTAGGGCTTTGTAAAGAAAAATAGTTCAATCGGCCACTTCAAAAAGCTACGTCAGCAACTAATTATGGCACTGATACAACTCAGAGACATATGTGAGATAAAATGACCAAAGAGTGGGTGAAGCTCCAAACATAGAGACTCCTACACTTGTCAGAACAAACCACTCATCTTACCTGCCTCGGCTGCCAGGTGAAGCGGTGGTTAGCACTGTTGCCTCACAGCAAGAAGGTCGTTGGTTCACGTCCCGGTGAGGACACCGGGATTTTTCTGCATGGAGTTTGCATGTTCTCCCCGTGCAGCGTGGGTTCTCTCCGGGTTTGGTTGTCTGTCTCTAAGTGTCGCCCTGTGATGGACTGGCGACCTGTCCAGGGTGCCCCCTGCCTTCACCCTCAGTCAGCTGGGATAGACTCCAGCCCCCCCGCGACCCTTATGAGGGTTAAGCGGTGTATCCATAACGGATGGATCTTACCTGCCTGGCTAAATCTCTCAGATTCCACTTTAGAACTCATGAGTTCTGTATTTAACTATAATTTAAAGAGGTAATCTTGTCAACTTTGGACTGCTTTACGAGCTCCTTTAAGAGCCACAAAGGACAAAAACCAACTGTTTTCACACTCACCTCATATAAAGCAGCTACAAATGAACCAAGCTTTACGTTTTAAGTGTTTTAAGTCTGAAAACATTAACTGGAGGATCCATTCAACCCAGTCAGATAAATCCAAATCAAAATTTACGACTGATAATCATTTCTCGGGCTGCTTCTTTTTTACCCCTGCAGAGAATACCAGACAAATATGACCTCTGACCTCTGCACCCGTCATCCTGAGCGACGTGATGCACAAGCATTTCAGATGAATGATGGTCTTTAAAAATACAGGCAGAGTTAATCTTGTGCATGTTTATGTCACTTGTGTGCTCCTGAGTTTTCATTCAGTGCCTCCAATTGGATGAAATATTGTCTTGTCCAACACTTTAGTTTATAAACTATACATACCAACATGCTAACTACATGCATGTTCATCTAGTGTTAGATGCTTTTCTGTAGTTAGAATGTTAGTATGCTAATGTTTAGCCTGAATCAATATGCAGAAAATATAGATATTGCAACCGCTTTTTGATTTATTTTGCACCATCTCTCTGGTTAATGTTGTATTTTTTTATTCAGTAATTTCCTCCAAGGATTAATTTGTTGTCTTTTTAGAATAAGACAAGGGGGGTGTTGATCCCAGCATGCTCTGGGGCAGAAGGCAGTGAGGTCATTTGTCCATCACAAGACCTGTCAGTCGGGCCTGTTTGTTTAAGAATGCATTGTAAATCAGTCATGACATGACAATAGCTGTTATTGAAAGCCAAATGCTTCCCACCCAGCTTTGTATACACACCGAAATTATGGGCTCCTGTTGCTATGTGACCTTTAACAGCCCATGTAAGCTCATTCAGACATCTTAACGTGATTTATTCCCAACCGGTCAGAGTCCGACGTCTAATTAGATCATTAGACAAAGCCTGCATTCATAAACATCCTAATTGGAGCCAATGAAGAGGAGTTGGGTTCTCCGGGTTTCACCAGTGGGATCGACCAGTGATGAGCTCTTCCTGAACTGGAAAAGCCAGTGCCTTGTTTATGTTAGAAGGAGATGGATCAGGCACAACCTCTCAGACCATTTCCTCTGTTGATTTTCTTTTTTTTTTTTTGCTTTTGGGCTTGAGGGAACCTGCCCAACCCCCTCTGGCACAACACAGACATACGCAAGAGGAAGCTAACGTGTCTTATATCTAACAAGCAGCTGCAGAGCAATTTGCTCTCAGTGAAGTGAACAAACAGGATCTGCTCTCTCTGCATCGGATGAATGTGATTACTGGTGGAAACAAATCTGACACAAGTCACAATTAGGCCTCCGTAGGAAGCGACTGATGTGCTTACTTTAGTACATTGTAGTCCCTCACAATCAGGTTGGTTGGTGGATCAGGAAATTGTCCATTTAACAGGTGATTTAATGTCATAGATGTTTGATTGTCTGAATGTTGAATCCAGGAAGATGAAGGAAAAGCTAAGAAGTCTTTGAAGGACCCACCAGTTCGCTCCATCTTGCTGCACGATTCTGTTCTCTCCCTCTGTGGTGATGCTGTTTTCTACCAAATATTCCATCCTCATTTTGGAAAATATAGGTCTGAATAATATATAAAATATATTTTAACATTTAATATACGTATCTTTAATTAAGAGTGCCTGAAACGATATGTCGTCTCTGTTTCAACGGCAGCTTGAATTGAAATAAATACTTAGGATTTTGAGTGGTTTAGAACATCAACATAAATGCCATTTTTTAAATCTGATAGATTAAACAAAGTAGTTTCAGACATTTTGCTATATTAACCAAATTTTGTGGATGTATTTTGTTGATTTTACTTCAATGCTCTGAGCTCCTGATCGCTTCTAATTATTTTACCAGCAGGTGGCAGCACAATACAACCATAGCATCTTTCTTCATCGTACTAAACGTCAGTCTTGGACCTCGTCAAATTTCAGTATTGGGTCGATCTGGTCATGCTATTTGAGTCTGTCAAAGAAGAAGGAATAACATATGCGACGACGCACCGTTTTCATAGATAAACAGACCCCCCCCCCAACGCGCACTTGCAGCTTTACGCACAGTTCCTTTTAACATTTCCAAACTGTGAACCACAGTTGAATGACAGTTCAGAAGTTCCAGTGTCACAGGATGAACGGACCACACACTGCACAGCCGTAATTACCTTTATACGCGCTGCAGCGGGTGTCACCCTGCAGTCTGTCCCCCTGACGCCTTCATTAGAAGCCTCAGGCATCTCCATCGTAAATGTTTCATCTTATTAGGAGTAACTTGAACTTAACACGTCTTCTAATAAACATCTGCTGCCTTGACAAAGATTATTTCTTTTTTTAACTTCTGGTGTGTTTCTCTGCATCGTTTCACCAACACAAGACTCTGCTAACAAAAAATTAACTCTATACAGAAAAAATATCTTTATTCACGAGTATTAAAGAACCAAAAAATAAAAAAAGCAGGAAAATGAAGAGGATTTTAAGTTAATTTACTTCTAAACTAGCATGAGGCACACCTTAAACCAAGACCAGGGTTTAAACGGAGCGCTTAAGTGAAGACTTAATGAAAACCTAAAGCGTCAGACTAAGACCACCTGTAGTTTCCCCGTTTCGCTGCTGATGTTGTTCTCTCGGTCTCACAGCGTGAGTCTGCAACACTGTGCTGGTTTAATCGGGCTTATCTCATGTGGCCACAAAAGGTGATTTACAACTTCGAGTGAGTTAAATATAAATGAATCTACAACTGGCATGAGTGAGCCATTACGCACAGAGGTACTGAGATTTTATGGCTTGTGCGTCCTGCAGATCTGCTCACGTGGTGTTTTATATTAACTTAAAGTTTACAGATGAAAGTTGTTCTTTTTGGTGACAATGATCAGGAGGCACGTGTAAACGTTCAATAAAAGTTGTTTATTCTCAAAATAAAATCTTCTATCAAAGTGGAAATTATACATATTTACAGTCTCGTAAAATTCCATATACAAATGTACAATATATGTACACCAATAATTATATAAATACACTTTTAATGCAAACCCGTATGAGACAGTATTAAGGCATTGATTAATGTACGTATAAATCCATCTCGTAGACAAAACAGAGCGGCCTCATTGTGAAATGTGGTGTTTAAGACACAGCGGTTCTTTACAGTAAGAAGAAGAGCCTCAGCTGCACCGTGTAACCTATCGACAAGGGGGATCTTGTCAGCTGTACGCATTCAATTAAGCCCAGATAAGACTCTGCATTCTTCGTGCCAGGTACATTGTTCTGCTGCTGACAGTCTCATTATTTAAAGAGAAGCCATTAGGCGCTCATTAATGTGCTAATTACAACACGCTGATGGACAATCCCAACACAATTAGTCACCCTCCTCCCCTCCTCCTGCTCCAACCCTCCTCTATTCAAAGCCATCATTTGGATAAGGCAATGGAAGTTCAAACTGAACTTTAACGAGCAGAATAGAGCGTAAATTCAACAACTAGTTCACATTAGGGGAGTGTTCAGAACCAAAAACTTTCATTCAAACTGGCAGTTTGGTGACTCATTTTTTTCTTTTATAATTTAACAAATAAAATCAGTTTTTACGCCACTTTGTCCCCCAAAAAGAGCTGATATGCGCTGGTTTTAAAGTCTTAAGTGTCAAATGACATGCATTTGATCAAACCCGGGACAGTGGCATCTGTTTGGGGCAGGACACGGAGCTGGCCGTCCCGGACCTCCAGGTGAGTCCAGTGCTCACGTCGCTGTACATGGAGCCAGCGGAGGCTTTACTCCCCCAGCAGCACCGCGTACAAAAAGTCCTCCAGGAGTCCAGAGTTTTCCCGGACCAGATCCACGCTCCGGAGGTGATCCCCACCAGGAGGCACATAAAGTATTTGAGCATGAACACGGCATAGTCCGGCCTCTGCCTGCTCGGGTCCGTCATGCACGTACAGTTGTGCGTAATTTCCCACGTCTGTCTGTTGTGCTGCTCGTAAAAGTAACACGCCACTATGACAGTGGCCGGGACGGTGTACAAAACCGTGAACACGCCTATCCGGATCATCAGCCGCTCCAGTTTGTCCGTCTTAGTGCCGCCTTGTTTGATCACACTCCTGATCCTGAACAGCGACACGAAGCCGGCGAGCAGAAACATGGTGCCGATGAACAGGTAGATAACCAGTGGTGCCAACACAAACCCCCGAAGGTTATCCAGATTCTGGTTGCCCACGTAGCAAATCCCAGCCACGGAGTCCCCGTCCACTGAGCTCAGAGCCAAAACCGCGATGGACTTCATGCTGGGGATGAGCCAGGCGGCCAAATGGAAGTACTGTGCGTAACTGGCGATCGCCTCGTTCCCCCACTTCATACCTGCCGCCAGGAACCAGGTGAGGGACAGAATCACCCACCAGATCGAGCTGGCCATGCCGAAGAAGTAGATGAGCAGAAAGACGATGGTGCAGAGTGCAGGACCTGTGGTTTCATAGTGGATGTGGTCAGCGCCGTTCTCCCGGTTACAGGCCACTTCCTCATGTCCAGCGATCAGCCTGACAATATATCCAACTGACACGAACATGTAGCAGGCGGACAGGAAGATGATGGGGCGCTCCGGGTACTTAAACCTCTCCATGTCAATTAGAAAAGTCGCCACAGTTGCGAAAGTGGAGATGAAGCACAGCACGGACCACAGACCGATCCAGAAGGCGGTGAAAGTCCTCTCTTCTGGGGAGAAGTAAGGGTTGTGGCACGGGATGGCACAGTTCAAGATCTGCCCTGTTTTGACGCGGTTGAGCAGCGGGTGTCCGTTGCTGGTCACCGGCACCATGGGCGCGCGGCAGAAGCACCCCGTCTCACACGCAGACGCCGCTGGTTTGTGTTTACCAGGGATGCCACGACCGAAGCCACTCTTCTTCTTGGTGTTGTACGGCTTCAGGGGCCGGTTGGTGGGCTTCGCCACCACCGGAGACACTGTAGTGGTCTGGCTGCGGTTGTAGTCCATGCACAGCGTGTCCTGGTCGCCCTGCTCGGGCAGCAGGTCGCACCTCATCCGGTCCGGCCACGGGAAGCCGTATTGCCTCATGAGAGGAGCGCAGCCAGCTTTCGCCCGCTCACACACGCTCCTGCACGGCGGCAGTGGCTTCTTATAGTCCTCCAGGCAGATCGGCGTGTACATGCTGCAGAGGAAGAAGCGCAAGTCCGGGGAACACTTTATCTCCACCAGCGGCCAGAACTGGTGCACCTCCAGGCCGGCTTCGTCCTGCGTGTCATGGTTGAACTGGTTGGGCATGTAAGTGTGATTGTAGCCGATACCTTTGCACAGAGGCACGGAGATCTCCTGGCACTGGAGCTCCTTGGCCGCCATGCAGCCGTGCAGGACGAGGGCGAGCAGCACGCACCATCCCGGGATGCTCCTCTCCTCCATCGTTGTTTTTTCTGTGCGCAATTCGTCCTCGACAAAAAAAAGTGACAGCGAACTTGCGCTTTGCAAGCAGGCTGCAAGTCCGATTAATCCTGGAGCGCTGCTAAACTCATGCTAGTGCGCAGACAGTTTGTGACGGGCTTCGGTGTGCGTAATATCCAAAACAAGCGTTTCACTCTCTCACAGTCTGGATAGCAGCAGCCTCCCGTCTCTCCTTTGTGTCGGTGCAGCAACGCGTCTCTCTTTGCATGTTCCGTAGCCGATGGGTGCGTTGGGTTTTATACAGCAGGGGACGAGGACACTCCCCCAGCCTGGGCGGGGAGGGAGAGTAAGTCAAGTCAATCAGGAGTTCCTTCTATAGGTGTTTGTTTAAAACGTTCACCCTGGAGGAAGGGTTAGAATCACTTTGTCCTTGTTTACGCCCCCCACAACCCCCTGCAAGCACACAAATTCACACACTGCCCTTTACAAACAGGGAGAGGAGGTAATCATACAATAGGTGCTTTATGAAGGAATGTAATTAGGAGGAGAGCAAACTAACAGGAACTAAACATGCAAGGTTTGGGTCAACAGGATGCAAAATGTTCCTGGATGCACCACAGCATCGATGATATCAATGCAATAATAAATTAGGGGGAAAAAATGTTTTTTTCAGGAATATTTGTTCACACTTGAATGTATTTGGTAGTTTTCATTTGCTCAAGAATACAAAATGAAATCAACAGTGGGAGAAAAAGCATGAAAACAGTTATTTGTAAATGAATCTGTGCTACAAGTTCTAATAATGTTTAAAAGAAAACATTTATTCTGATATTCCAGGACTGCTTTAAGGATGTTTTTCATTTTGAATAATATTCCAGTGAGAGTAAAAAAGAACTAAGACAAAACGTTTGACCATCCATCAGATGTTTGGAGGATGACCAGAGGAAGAAGAGAACGTTCTCAAAACAACATTCTAAATATGTTTTCAAGGTGTTTCCGAGGCCTCGGATCACCATTCAGGGCTTTTATGACACATCCTTTTAATGTGACATATTAACCAATGTAGAACATTTGGCCTGTAATGTTCTGAGGGTGTTGTTGAGAACGTTCGACTATAAAATGTTCCTACAATGTTACATGATAACAAAGGACTGACATTGTCAATGCAACGCTCAGAAAAATGTTTAACATGTCTAGAGCGTCTTTAGAGAACTTTATCTGGCCTTTAAGAAGAACAATCTGGGAAGTCGAAGAAAACATCCCACTGAAAATATCACTGGAGCTTTGCAGAACTTTTTCCAGAATATTTTAGAACAAAAACATTCTGGCTGGGTGACCTTTTATATTTTAAACTTGTAAGAACAGTGTGATTTATGTTATCTTCGTGTTTGCAAGACATTTTGGGATGGTCTTTTACCATCTGGACAGGTTCAGATGATGAACATTTGCCTGTTGATTCACCATCGCTGTTACGCTTAGGTTCTGTTTCAGTGAATCACTACTTTTATTTACAAGCTTTTAAGTCATCCAGAGTATTAAACAGGATGTATTCCAATCCCAGCTCACACATGCAGGAACATAGAGCATCTCCACTGTCATTATTGGGGTTTTAAAAAAACTCATAGCCAGTTTGATCATCACAGAATTACAGGAAGGAGGAAGTCATTTGGTTCGCTAACTGTTTAAAAGCAGGTGGAGACACTAGTTTCTTTGCATGCCAATTGCAAACCAATTTTCCGTGCAACCCACAAGCTTCAATTTAATGATAAGTTTTAGAAAAGTCAATTTATTCATCGCCTGTCAGCTGAAAGCCACAAGGGAGCACTAGTCTGATACTGTCCGTCAGTCAGCCTCCACTGCAGAGAGGCTTCCCGTCTTCTGTAGGAAATCTGACAAAGTGAAAATGTGCGTGTGGCTTTGAATCGGTTGTGTGTGCGAGAGGAAAAGCGTGTGTGTGCCGATGTGTGCATCTGCAGCAGAAACACAGGGAGGCTGTGTGTGGTGAGGGAGGTTGCTGTGGTCTTGTTAGCCCGCAGCAGGGGGTCGTCTTGGTCTAAAGGGAGGGGGCAGTTTGTCTTAACGCCGGTGCCAATGTTTCACTCAGAGCATGCTGGGCCGGCGATTACTGCGATGCACCGCTGTCCTAACAAACAGGGTAGCGTGTGTGTAACTGTGTGTGTGCAAACAGTTTCAGCCCAAAGGAAATAAGCTAACATGGGCAGATGCAGCATTGTGATAGCACTAATTAAAGTCATTCACACTTCTTATTGGATTCAACAGCTTCAAATGGAGCTGAGACAGTTTGGCAGACGGGCGGCGTGTTTCCAATCCACAGGTTTTTATCAGAACTAATTAGCCCCAAACTCCAGTATTTGCAAAGGGATGCTTGTTTTTGGCTCAGTTTGGGGTCTCCGATAGGGTGGGGTTGATTGTGTGAAGGCTGTTTCTGTGAGTGCTGGGTGAGCCGGCAATAACTAAACGTCTTCTACACCGAGTTTAGGATTCTCTTCTGTACGTCACTGCATCCTCCCATTTGGTAAACTGGTGGAAAAGGGGGTGGAATCAATCAATAGCACAAAAAATAAACATTAGATATCCACCAAGGTGCAATATGAGGTTGTTCTTTGTGAAAACACGAGAAGAGAAAATTAGAGTTCAGTATCTTTCTTAGTGACTTGACAGAATCTCGTCACTGGTATATGTAAGAGATGAGGCTAAGTCTAAAGTCAGTTTAAAGTTCTGCACAACAGCCAACATCTTACACAACTCTCAATTTTTCTAAAGAAAAACTTCGCAAAAGATTATTGAACAGGCAAAACCACAGAGAAGCTGCAGGAAAAGTTAAATAGAAGCTGTATAGAGAAGAGACGGACGCCCAAGTTATAGAATTACACTTTTTATGAAATAAAAAGCTAATAATGTTCTTTCAGTTCAGCTCAATTCCCATTCAGCTTCTTTCTCATAGAGCTAAATAGCTAATTTCAGTGTTTGCTGTTCTTTTTTTTTCAGTGCTCAGATTGAAACAAGAGCTGCTCAGTGTTTTGGAGCAGCTTCAGAGCAGTGGCACTGTTGGTGTCAACGTCTGGGCAGCATCACTCATCACCTGGCCAAACCTCTACACAATGTTCTCCCATAGCAACAACAAAAAACTGAATTTACAGCATCATTATGATTAACTGGAGTGACAAAGTTGTTGATTTCCACGTTAAAATCAGGCCTTATGCAGCTCTAGCGTTCCTCACAGCTTCACCAAAATCTGAATCATTTAGTTAAAAGAGGAAGAATGTTTTTCTCATGGCTGAAGGAGACTCCTCAGACATTCCCGTGCACGTATAGGCGCATTTTGGGCCCCATCCAGAAGCCTCACGCTGGGCCAGCCGTCTCCAGCCGAGCTGTGAACTGCAGGTGAAAGTCGCAGGAAACAGGTGCCTCCTCCTCCGCCAGGGAGAACAAAATAGCAGACTGAGCATCAGTTACACCAATCGCTGTCTATCAGAGTGGAACCCGTATTGATTAACAAGGCTGATAGACTCGGCGGCCCCAGCCACCAACTGTCGACTACGCCTCCCGCCTTCTGTGTGCAACGGCGATAGTGGGTTTAGGGTTACGCGCTGGCCCCCTGCATACCAAATTTAAAAGGGTGGAAATGGAATTACTGCATCTGTTTAGAAGTCAATTTCTGCATTCTCAAGGCAGCCTACTCTACCACTCCTCTATCTCGCCTCCCTTCCTAGCCTCTCTCCTGCCTTCCCCCCGATCTTTCCCCCTGATTCTCCCAGGGCTCTCAAAGTTCATGACGCCAAAGAAAAAGGCGGGCGGGTGGGTAGGAGGGGGGGTTCTCACAGAGTTACTGAGGCGTGCTGTGAAACTCCGAAATGTTTGTCTTTGTAACCTCCTCATGGGAAGCTTGGCCTTGTGATTCTCTCAAACTCTTCCATCCTTTCTGTCATATTATGTGCTAAAACTGAGTTGATTAACATTGAACTCATTAATGTTGACTTGTGCCATTGTTGGGATACACAAACCTGTGAGTCTCAAGTGAGTCTTAAGTAGTTTCTTTGGAAATGCTGACTGAAATCAATAATGCAGTGGATCAATAAGGAAAGCTCAATAGAAAGTGTAAGCAATAATTATCTAGCGTTAACTGCAAGGATAAAGTCCAAGTTAATGTGATGCATTTCCAATAAATAGACCAGTGAAGACCGATGATAGGCAGAAACACCAGAGACAGAAACATCTGGATCCTCCTGAGAGACAAGGTAGAGACGGTGAGGTGGTGGTTTGCACAACTGTAGGTGTACAAGACCAAAACGCAATGATATTGAAAGTGAAAGATTCTCCTGAATGGATTGTTGTCAAAGCTTCATTTACGGCAGTTTTAGGAACACATTAAAAAGTGCAAGATCTTCTTTTATTCTGAACCAGCACAGTGGAGGTTCAGTAGGAGCTGGTTAGCTGAAAGATTTTATGCCTCATTTCTACATAGTTTGGCTTCACGACTGTAAACCACATCACATACAAACCTTCTCTCTCAGCTCTTAGTATTTATTGTCCATACTGTACATGGTAAATCAACCAGCCTATCACCTTCGATAGCTCAGTTGGTAGAGCAGAGGACTGTAAGGAAGTGACACTGACATCCTTCGGTCACTGGTTCAAAACCAGCTCAAAGGAGAAGGTTTTTGTGGGTGGAGCTGTTGAACACTTTGAATCAAAAACCTGTGCTGACTTTGTTGTTGTTAGAAATGCTACAATGGTAAGTTTTATACCCACAGTCTGTATTAGTGAGTCAGACTATCGCCTCTTTCACATGTCTTGGTTTCATGTCTGTAAAACCACATCATATACAAACATTTTCTCTCAGCGCTTAGTGTTCATTGTCCGTAGTGTTCATGGTAAATCAACCAGCCTGTGACCTTCGATAGCTCAGTTGGTAGAGCGGAGGACTGTAGATGAACGATGCTGACATCCTTAGGTCGCTGGTTCAAATCCGGCTCGAAGGAGGATAATTTTGTGACTGTAATTGTTGTTGGCTGTTTGTGTGAAATGCAAAAATGACAGGTTTTATATCCACAGTCTACATTCAGTGAGTCAGACAATTGCTGCTTCTTCATATAGCTTTGCTGCAAATCTGTCGATGTCCAGACATTATCTCTAGACACATGGTGATCATTTGCCATAGTGCACATGGTCAGTCGGCCTGTCTGTTCCCTTCGATAGCTCAGTTGGTAGAGCGGAGGGCTGTAGGAGAGTTATACTGTAATCCTTAGGTCGCTGGTTCAAATCCGGCTCGAAGGAGAAGTTTTCTGTGTTTGATGCTGTGAATCAAACAGATAAAACAACTGTTCTGAAGTTGTTGTTGTTAGAAATGTGAAAATGGCAGGTTTTATACCCACAGTCTACATTCAGTGAATGAGACTATCGCCTCTTTTTCACATAGTTTGGCTTCATTTCTGTAAAACCACATCATACACAAACATTTTGTCTAAGCGCTTATTGTTCATTGTCCGTAGTGCACATGGTTAAACTACCAACCTATGACCTTCAGTAGCTCAGCTGGTAGAGCGGAGGACTGTAGGGGAGCCGTGCTGATATCCTTCGGTCGCCGGCTTGAAGGAGGGAGATTTTATGACTGTAGCTGTAAGAAAGTCAACTGAAGTTGTTGTTATTAGAAATGTGAAAATGACAGGATTTATACCTACAGTTTATATCCAATGAGTTTGACTATTGTTTCTTCTTCACATAGTTTGGCTT